GAGCAGTCTCAGTCAAGAATCTCATAAGACTCAAAGTGGTCAGATAAAATAACATTTTCTGCTGCCACCTTTTGATTTTTCTCTATGATTAACCAGAACATTAACGGTATGTCCAGTTGTTGGAGTCACACAACATGACTTAGCAATTTAGCCACAGTCTGAGTCACGACAGAGTTTGGCCCTTGCGCCACAATTGAGCCCATAACCTGATTTTCAGTAGGCACAGTTTGGGTTACATCCATGTTGGTCAATTCGGTTACCATTTCTGAAAATCAAATAAAAAAAAATTAGTTTTCAAAATTAATAGTATAATAAACCAATTTTTTCCTTTAGGATTCTGTTTTAAGTTTGTTGGATTTTAGTATAGTGGATGAAACCGAATTCATTCATACTGTATATGTAGTTTAGATATCGATTTTGAGTATAACGTATATGCAGCTTACTGTATTTGCAGATTACCGTATATATTGCATACCGTATATGCACATATTTTCTTTAACCTTTTCATCTATACTATATTTTCACATACCGTATTTTCACTTACACAGAGAAATACCAAAATTACAGAATATATATTTTTTTCCAAATTTTTATTTTTAGCACAAAGAAAAATTAACGCAGATTAATTTTGATAAACATAAATAGAATGATAACATAATAAAACGGCAAATTATATGAATCACACGGATGAACGCTAAATAATTAAATCTACAAGAATAAATTGCAAAGGTGTAATCATAAAATAAATAAATAGTGGATTAATTTTCAACCCGAGGCCTGTGTGAATACAGTTTCCTTAAAACAGATTCGTCCCCTCACCGTAAGTGCTTGAGGTCTAATTTGAGCGTCTGTTTCCCAGGATACAACTGTAAAACCCGTAGAATCTGAGCACCACAGATACTACTCCGACAAACTGACTATTATCCGAACAATATCACCACAACGATGACACTGAACAGAAATCGAGATATAGACAGAAAAAATTGCAGAACGTTTTTCTCCTATTTTCGTGTGTTTCTTTATGTGCTGGAACTGCTAGAAAAATAACATTTTATATAAGTTAAAATCTGCTTATAAACTCCATAGCAATAAACACTGGAGTTGCTTCAATTTCTGGGAGTTTTAGCAGTTTCAGAAAACTCAAAGGTCAATTGGAGAAAGCAAAAAATTGTAAAATGTGGGCTCTCCAGAGGGGCCAATTCTTGCTTCGTTTGGTCTGACGTTCGTGTACCCAGGTCGCGCCTCTACACAAGTTCAAGGTCCAAGGGTAATTTCGATCCGAGATTTACACCCCCTTGCGCGCACACGTGGAGAGAGCCTCTATGCTACACATGATTACACATTTCAAATGTATAGTTATATTTAAAGTGGTTCTTGCTTTCATATTTTTCCTATGCGGGATTAAGCTCATTTTTCCCACATAAACCATTTTTCAGTGGTCATCTTTGAGCTCCAATTTCTCATTCATCTAAGCTTCATTTTTAGCAAATAAATATATGATTTTGATTCTCTCACGGAGGAGAACACGGATCAACTTTAATCTTCCAAAATGGGCCAACAGGTCCCACCGAATTTTTTTCCAAAAATGAGCCATTTACTCATTTTTTTTTCCACATAAATTTTGTCCTAGTTGGGTGTCTGTGACATTTTACCTGTGTCTTGATTGGTTCAGTCAATGGGTTTCTTTATTTGCATATATCGGTTCATATGTTTCTTGACATGGTCAGAGGTCTAATCTTATCTTGGTACTGAAGAAAAATGTTTATCGTCAAATGATAATCTCGTTTGAGATTTATTGCATCGTAACAATACCAAGGTTCTTTATTTAAGCATTGGTGGATGTAAATTTAGGCATTTATAAGATATCTTTGTGTTGTCATCTCAATATCTCTTTTCAGTGTTCGCTATCCTCATAGTGTACGAGATAAACCATATATATGCCTTGCAGTAATGATTCGTTGGTCTTGTTCTGCCATTAATATTCTTAATCGACATGTTTGCATGAAATTTTTGTAGTTTAATAGCAGTATGGTTATGGTAGCTTAAACTATCGGATTAAATCTAATGAAATTCTTCAATCTTTGTAAACTGCCCTTAAGCTGTTACTGATGTTTAATAACTAATTAGATAATTAATTACTTGTTGCAGTAGTAGAAGACTCATAATAAGTTTAGTATGCACAAATTAATATATGTGCAATAGATGTTAAGAATAAAATTTATCATGTGTGCTATCACATAGATAATCTAAAATTTAATGCATTATAATCATTCAAATTTGGAGTAGGAATAGATTCGAGTCATGACTAGAATAGATTTAATTTGTCTTAAAGAGAAAGTTAAATACATTTTCTTTATCGATTGTCATGAACGCCTAAACGAAATTGATTACAAATCAAGAATTGAAATAGATATTAGTAGGTTGACTCTAAATCCAATACAATCATCCATTATTTGATAAAAACCAAACATTCTCATGATTCTTAGATTAATTTAGCGTAAATCAGAACATAAAATCTCTTTTTTACATAATTCGAATTTCACAAAAAGCCAGAAAACTTGAATAGAAATTTATTCTCGTAGGACGACAACTCTTCTCATCACATCTATTACTTGTAAATGATCCCGTACGTTTGTAAGATTTTACCGAACAAATTTTTGACGCTATTGCTAGAGAATAAAGTATTTAGTTAGAATTTATTACTTTATATAGGATTCGAATTATTTATTTATTTTTATATTTATTTTTTTAATTTTGGTTACTCGCCTTGATTTCTCTTGTGCTTCATATTCTTCCAGGAACTATTCAACAATATAGGCTTAATTCTGACAATAGCAAGGGCAACAAATAATTGCAATAATTCAACACGACGTGTATGATGAGGATATGTTTGCAAGAGACACAAATTGTGAGCTTTGTGATGGGATGCATTATATTGGAGTGGTTATATATGAGCACTAATCCCTTTATGTTGAAGCTTCTACAATTTAAATAGAGTTTAAGATGTCAAAAATTAGTAATTGACAAATCCAATGAAGGCTTCATGCCGGAGCGCGAGTATTTATCTACACATGGAGACAGTGACATCATATTTAGGGGAGTTGGTCTTCTCGTGTTGAACTAGGAAGCACTTGCAAAATATTAGAATAAACTAGTCATGTTGGATGAAATTAAAATACGATTTAGAGATGCTCCATTCTGGAGAGAATTCAAAAGGTGGGGATATAATCTACTTAAAAAGTTCGAAAGTGAAGAATTGTCATTGCCGTAGAATTAGATTGTTAATCAACCATTCAACTTAAGGAGATGTCAATTATTGGAGAAGATTATAAAGAGGATGAAAAATTAATTACAAAAGAAGAAGTGATAATTAGTGAAGATGAAATTAATACACATTCTTTCAACCTCACTGATTGCACAACAATTGAATTTGTGATTAAACCTGAGGAGGAAATAGAAGTCTACATGATTGATTCAAATCAGATAGAGTAGACAGGTCATATCACATTGAAGGAGGCAATATTAAGATTTGGAAAATCAACGAAAATGGATCAAAGTTAAAACAAGCAAGCTAAGCAAGGCATCAAAAGCTTTCTTCAGAATTTCATGATACAGAACATTAAAGTTAAGCTAGTAACTATAAATAAGCACTTATTGGGAGGCAACCCGATTTTCTTCCCTTTTATTTATTTTTTCTTCCTAGAATATAGGATTAATAAATTTCATTACTTTTAGTAGTTTAGGATATTTTCATCCCCATATTTCCCTTTAAGATGTGTTAGAGTATATTTTAAAATGTTCCATGTTATTATTTATTTATTTATTTATTTATTTTGAAGGAACATGACACGCGAACACATTGGACAAGGAAAAATATATAGCAAGTGATCTAGCACTTTTATACAAGTCCATCCACCACCTACAAATTTATATTAGGGGAGTACTTAGTTCCCTTTAATTTTATATATTACTTGTTTTATTTTTAGACATTGATGGCAATGTCTGTTATAAATTTGGGGGTGAAAAAACATCAAGTTTTTATCCCTTTTTACTGTTTTATGTGCTTGGTTGAGTGCCCCAAAAAAAAATCTTAAAATTAAAAAAGATTTTATTTTCAACTTTATTTTTGCTTTTGTGTGCTTGTGTGAGTTAAATAAATTTGTTTACTATGATGCATATATTTGAAAGTATGTGTTAGACTATGAATTATGAAAAAGTTGTATGTTAGGTTGATGTATGCCTATTCATATAAAAATTAACATTTTTGCGCATAAGATTTATGTTTTCCATCATGAAAGATTAATTTGATTCAAAATTTGAATATGTTAAAAAAATAGAGGACCTTAGATGCTAAATCCAAACAACCCCTAAATTGTACATCGTTGAAGTAATTCTAGGATAGTTTGGGGGGTGATTGAGTTGTTGTATAGTGACATTGAAATGAATGTGGATTTCAAGTGTGCTAAATTTTGTGTGAATTGTCTAAAACCAATAAGATGAAAACCTTAAGTTAAAAGTTGCTTTTTGACAATAAGGATTTAATAAAGAGAATTGCACTAATCATTGCATAAAAAATAAAAATAAAAATGGTCTCAATGTGAAACTTTTATTCATAATCTTTATAATTCGAGTGATTAAGCTTGCAAGATATTTAAAAACTGGTGTTTTATAGTCATCTGACTTGGGAGTTATTGGTCAAAAGCTTGATACAAAGGTTATTTAGAAAGCTTAATGGAGAGAAGTATGCACATAAGCTATAGAGAATTTGACATTTGACGAGGAGTTATTAGCTTAATTGGTTCTTGGGGATTGAAACAATAAAAAATAAGGAGAATCATCATTGAATGTAATAAGTAAGATATAACCAAACTAGAGAGAGCGAGTATGGTTTTGATATTGAGAGTTGTGTTACTTCGGTTATCAAACTTCATGATGTTTGCTTTTTCTTCATTCTAAAGTTCTACCAATTCATAAAAACAACTTTCTTGCCTCCGAAATAATTGACCAAGAAATCAAAAATCGATGAAGCCTTATCAGAATAATATGTCTGCACTCTATTATTTCCAGGCACGTTACACAATGCCGTATTCCTTAAACATAATATGGTCCCACCAATTCTGATTACAGTAATGCAAAATAATTATAGGGGAACAGCTCCCCAGAATACAATAAAGTCTGAAGTAGTTCTTATTAACCGACAGTACAGTGTAATCATTTTCTGGCCTTTGGAACCAGCACCAATGGATGTTCCATCTGCATTGTTACACCAAATTTCTCATTCATGTTTAGCTCTTTTGGATCATTTCCATGTGGAAGAGACCAGTCGAAAAAATATATCAAAGAGGCAAGAATCAATGGAACAGTCTTTGCAGCCATGGGAAAGCCAGGGCAGATCCTCCTTCCTGCACTAAATGGTAAGAATTCAAAGTTGTTTCCTTTAAAATCCAAAGACGAGGTAAGAAATCTCTCTGGTCTGAACTTAAGTGGCTCATCCCATAAAGATGGATCACGCCCAATAGACCAAACATTGATGATTACTTGAGCATATTTTGGTACTGTGTAATTCATTACTTGGCAGGTCTCAATCGCCCGGTGGGGAAGCAGCAAAGGTGCAGGAGGATGGAGCCTTAATGTTTCGTTAATGCATGCTTCAAGACACTAAATGGGAATTTTTTGGAAAATCTTGATTGATTTCAGTGTCAATCTCTCCACGAACATTCATCATTGCCTCGGGATTTTTAAACAGTTCTGCTATCGTCCATTCGATGGTCGAGGTAGTTGTGTCTGTGCCAGCAGAGAATAACTCCTGTCACATAGATTAGTATACAGTTTTGCGTAAGAAGTATCTTTGCGGGCACAAAAGAACTTCATATATGATATACAATATTAAATTGCACTGAACATTATAATACACCACATTTTAACTTTCCTTTTCTTATTTAATGATGGAGTACTACCTAATCGAACCTAACATGTCATAAATCTCATCCATGAAAATATCTCATTTTAGTTGTTTGAATCCAGCATATCATGTTATTTTGTAAACATGAACCCTTAATTCAACCAACAACCTAGAACAAACATCGACCTGTAATCCAAGATTATAAACTGGTCCTGAACTGCTGTCCAAGGTGCACAATTTTCATAAATAGGTAGTGAAACTTGAACCCTTGCTCTGAAACCATGTTGAACTCTCTCGTCTAAAAGTTGAAGCTCTAGAGAGCAGACAAACATAATTTGTGGGTGTATGTGTTGTTGGTTTTGTGGGTGGGGGGGGGGGGGGGGGGGGGGGGG